TTCCTATTGCCCATCACTGTGGCAGAGACCATCCACCCCCACACAAAGGGCCAGCTGGGTATCTCACCCATATGCATGCCAACCATGCAGACTCCTTTCAGGTGTATTTTCAGGCAGAGCAGACAGAGACCATACTGGTTTGAAGGTAAAACACAACTTTGTAATGCAGGGAGCAGGAAAAAAACCCTCTAAGTTTAGAGCTTTATTTCACAATCTATTTGCTGACAGCTTTCTTTAGGTGAATTTGTTGGGGGTAGGACTATGTTGGAAGAGATTTTAATTCTTTATAGTCTATTATAACTACATCAGACTTCCTTAAATTACATTAAAAATCTCACATCCTATTGCAAGCTTGGTATCTTGTGTTACATTAATAAACTTAGATTTCCCAGTTCCTAGATTTCAGACGACAGTGTTCAACTGTTTACACAGAAATCATCAGTGCTACCTATCAGCTCTTATTGAGAAAACACCCTCTCAGTAAGGTCTATCAGGAGAGAGAGGGGGAGGAAAAAAAAAGGCAAAGTTTTGGGGGTTTCATTGTTGTTTTTTAAATCTTTTGTATTATGTCATAACAAAGAAAATGACAGAGTTTAGGTACAAAGACAAGGAGAGGCTATAATGCACAGCAGGAGCAGTGGCTACGCATTCCTCCTTCACCTTTGTGCTAAGGACGCTGTTCGTGTGCCGGCAGAGATACCTCCCCCCGCCCCCCGAAAGCCGACTGACCCCGCAGACAGACGTTTCTCCCAGACCTCCTTTGAAGGAAGGCTACGAGTGACACACATGCAGAATTAGCGAGAGATTTGTCAGCACCTTATAATTACAGTGTGCTTTCAGTCAGAATGACATTTTTTATTATAAGCAACTAAGGGCAGAATTAAAGTAAATCTCCATGAAAATGCACTGCGTACAGGCCTACAGGTGTCTTCTACTGAAACCTGCCTCTGTGGGTTGCAAAGGTGCCATTGCCCTCAGATGAATGACAAACTCCAATAAGGCTGAAAAATCAATACACAAGAGGAAAACAGTTAATTGCTACAAGGTACGCAGTTCTCCGGCCAAAATACAGTACAAAAAATGAAACTGCTTATTTCTCTAGTTTCTTTCTAGAACAATTTTAAAAACCCATTTCCATCTATTCCGCTCCTAATGGACAACCTTTCAAGAGAGAGTAACAGAAAATCCACAGCAGCATTTTCTTTAAAAGTTAAGCACGTGACACACAGCTGAAGGTATTCTTCCTTATCCTAATAAAGCCGAGTTCAACATTTAGTTTGCCTCCAATCTCCCCCACCCCAACTCAGACCAACACAGCGCGCGCACGCACCTCTTCGAGCAATGTTTTCTTTGACTAAAACACAGAAAATGTTTCTGAAGTGATCTGTCAGAGGGACCAGCAAGAACTACTTTGGCTGTTGTGCCTGTGACATTGAAAGGGATGTTGAAATGGGTTTCAAAGTAGTGAACTGCAACATGAGAAACTCCAACAACATTAAGAAAACCACATTTTTAAAGAATTGTTTCAAAATAGAGCCCCAAAAGCACGACCAAGCAAAACTCAGATCTTTTGTAATAATTGGAGGGAGAGTTTTTGCATGCAAAATGAAGACAGTGTCTGCTAAAGAAACTTTCCTGTAAGATTTAGGAACAACTGCTGTGAGCTAGACTAAGTGTTTCAGTGCCACATCCCTCCCTCTCCAGTAACACCTGAGTTACAGCAGAACTCCCCATCACTTCATTTCATTCTATTCTGTAAAAACAAATTTATTAGATGCACTGGATGGGACAAAACAGCGTTGCCAGGTGCTTCTGGATATGAAAAGCAGAGAGTGGGAGCTTTAATGAAGTTAGCTCTTGGTCATAGGAAGGTGATAAATGCAGAAGAAAATATCCTCTTGTTAATGTTTGTGTTTACCGTTTTCCTAGGTTTAAAGACAGTGGATGTTTCTCTGTCTTGCACCTTTAGTCAGTCAATTACAGCAGCAAAGTCAGTAAGTAACACACTGGCGTTCTGATTTAATAGCCTTTCGTTTGCACCAGAGTGATGAGACAAGGTGCAGGACAAAAACAAAAAAACAAAACAAAACAGGCCTTACCTCTTAATTTCTTTTCCGTTATGTTTTACTTTTAGTGGAGGACAATTCAGCCAAATTTAAACAAGAGCTCAAATACAATAACTTGTGTATACAAAACTTCATGGACTCTGAAATTTGCTGACACAGACCATGGCAAATAAAGTTCTTGAAGCCTTCACCTGAGATGCATCAAACTTTGTAGAGCTACTAAATTGCACAATTCCTGTCTTGAATGGTCCCACTAAATGGCTCACACTGTGGCTCCACTATAGTCCCTTTACATCATGCTACCAGTGCAAAATCCGTAAAAGCAGAATATCCAAAACCGCATGGAAATCCTCAGTGGGCATAGAGCAGAACACCTCAGTCCTCCTCAGGGTCTCTGGTGACAGGGTGGTATCTGGAGGAAAGGGATTTGCAACTACCTGGTTTCTTCATACAGAAGAAAGCTATCGAGTATTGGCATACATTTGCCTTTCTGGTATGGCACATGCCTTTCTTCCACAGGGATCTGTGAGGTCCTTGGGAAGTGCAGAGCTCCCACAGCTCTCCCGTCCCACCACCAGCACTGTAAGCAACCAGAGTGAAAATTAGAGCCGTTGAGAAGCTGCTCTAGGTTGCGCTGCTGCGTGAACAGATGGTGACCACCTCCAGAGACACGAGGCTATCTAACTGCAAGCCATCAGCAAGGAGCTCTTCTTGCAGCAGCCTGCTTCCATGCCCACATAATTTCATGTTTGATGTTAGGCCCAGGCCTTGCATTAAAATTTTCATTAAGTCTCATTGTAAGTGATCATTTTTCAAAACACTGTGAAGATCATCCTTTCTTAGCAGTTAGTATAAGGGTGAATCAATGCAAAATATTTTCTTTTGCATCTAAATGGAAACTCATTTCTCTCAACCTGATATTACTCTGTTCTTCAACAATATCAGTGTTCTTTCCCAGCTGACACTTCAATAGCAGATGCAGCAGCTCACCATTTCCCAAGAACTTCTTAAAAATTTGCAGTACTCAAAAGAAGACAGTACACAGAAGTCTCATCTGATGAAAAAAAAAAAAGTTTAAGCCCATCCCTAACACACTAATGTTGCTGTGGGATCTTTTGGATACATTCATTTTCTTCAGTATAAGAATTAACAAATACATGAATCATTCAGGTCTGTCTACCACACAGTGCTGGTAATACTCGATAGCATGTTTACAAAGTTTTCACGGTTATGTGAGTCAATCCAATGCATGCTTGCCCAGATATAAAAATAAATGTTATATAACGCACAGATCACAGAATCAATACGCTGGTTGTGTGCACCAAATAGAAGAAAATAGCACAGGAACTCCTATGCAACAACTGTCCTAAGAACCAGAAGCTGCAATTCTAAACGTGAGTCATTGGATCCAAAATTTGGTCTAGTTGTTTTGTGAGCATGAGTAGCAATAAAGACAGCAGAACAACAAATACAGCAACCCTGTTGGTTTGCTCGTGAACAAAAAACCCCATAATTAGGCACAGTCATAAACGTTCAGCGTCTTCAGATAGTGTGCCTAGGCTCAAAAAGGAAATGTTTATCATCCAGACTGACACAAACTGATAAAATAACACTTTCAGTAATGATGCTGAGAGGGGGAGAGATTAAGATAGGGAGTTCAAAAGTGAGCATGTTGTAACTTAACCTGTGGAGGGACTACCACCTTCCCATTGGAGAAAGACATTTGAAGACTAGCATTTGCCTGACAGTTTCACCTTTAAAATGCTATATGCACATTAACAGATGACTACATGCAGATATATTTAATGAAACATGCATTTCCATCTCCAATTTTTTTCAGCAAGCTTAATGTTTGCATGATGTCAATGATTGCAAAGTAAGTCTTCCATAAAGCAGAGGAATAAACAGGTACCTCCTCCGACACCAGTAAAAAGCTGGTATCCATCATTATTAGATGAAATTGTGACCCAATTACACTAGTACAAATCAGGAAAAACTTTCCTGATTTCACAACTGCAAGGAAGTAGAATCTCTGTCATCTTAAAGGTATTCAAGGGGAATGGAATTTGTATCGATTGATTATTACAAGTTATCCATGTATTTTAACTTGGATTTCATCTAAAAATTAAAATGAGATGCAAGTTTGCTTTGTTTCTCAGATCTGTAGGGATTTATATAACGTAGCCTAGCAAGATATGCAGTTCTAGCAGAGCAGCCTGCTCAGGGAATCCTCAGATTTTAACTTTTGCACAGCAAGTCTCTTGGAAAAACACATAGACACCTGTCGCTTTGAGAAGCCTCACTTTTCCCTAAAACAGTGAACACAAACAATAAACTGCACTCTTCAAACAGCTACAACAACCAGTCCTAAAACTCCTGATCTCTCCTCACACCTTTCCCTGCCCCAGCAATTTTGCTTTTCGTGTTTGAGAGGCGACAAGAACCGTTACATACGTCTTTACGCAAACTGAGAAATGGCAAAAGGTTACAGAATTTGGAAACGCTGGCTGAGTGAACAAAGAAATATTGAAAACAAAGCCAAGGCTCCCAGGGGTTATGTTGTGGGCTCATCGGAAGGAAACGCAGCTAGCAAGTTGGAAACCTGCAATCCAGAAGCCCAGGCTTTCCTGAGATAAGGTTCCAAAACAAAAGTTCTGGAAACATCTCGGTGAACGGGTGCCAAAACCCAGCAAAAGGATTTAGAGCGGCTGCGTATCACAGGCAAGTTTCTTGGGCAGAAGAAAATATAGAAGACGGAATGGAAAACCAACCCAGACAAAAGTTGCAGGGCACCTATACATTTTAAAGGCATATATTGACAAAAGGCGGTTGTCAACAGCTCTTTTACCTGTACTTACTGGAGCTGCAAAGAAAGAGAGGAAAGAAGGAGAAGAGAGACAATGAAGGAAAGAAGAGGAATTAAACGAGGCTCACCAATCGTAAAGCTATAGCCATCAATGCTGAAAGTAGCACTCCGGCATTTTTTAAATCCTTCCTTTCTGCTGCTTGGCTCTGTCATGATCCTGCCAGCTTGTACTTTCAGCAGCAGCCTTTCTCTCCCCCCGTGGAAGCAGTGCGCTCGAGCTCGCTCTTAGCTGCCCTTGAATATCTGCCTGTGACAGCATGCACGCCCAACCTCGCACATCTCCCGGCGCGGGGAGCCGAATCCGAGAGGCATGCACCCAGAAGCTTTCTCCTCCCCCAAACGCTCGCTGGCACATTACCGACGTGCCTACTCAGAGTTTAACAACTGGTTAGAGGCTCCGGTATCTAAACCGGCAGTCAATTAGTGCAAGACTACCAAGTCAATAAGCCAGCTGTATCTGTCAAATCTCTGTGTAGGAGTCAGCACACAATTAAAAAAAGATGAAGGGTTAGATTTTGCTGTGATCTACCCGCTGACGCTCCTTGTATTCCCTGCTATGCTGCAGCCCCTGCTTCTGTGGCTCCCCTTACTCATGGGGATTTCTGACTTGCAGCAAATTGTGCTCAGGTTTCAGCCCTTCAAATACAAGCAGCGTGTTTTAATCATTCGAGAAATAATGAATGTTACAATATTACAGTACACCATCAATCATCTACTACTTATACTAACAGCAAGTCTCTAGAAACACAACTGGCAGCAGAACGCAAGAGATATCAGTAAGTAAGAACATAAATGACTGTGGGAAAACAACAAAAGTAGTTTAGCTGTAATGGTGATAAACTGAGCAAAATGTACACGCACACAAAGTCTTCTGAGCTCTTCCTCCTCCTAGTGGTTCATCACACGGTTTGTAAACTCCTCTCTGCGGTTTTTTTACCCAATGATGTTTAAAAATGGGATTTGGAGTGCTTGCAGCAATCCACTGAAAAAGACAAGCAAGTCATCCCTATCCTATGAACAGACAAAATTTAGAGTCAAGGCTGGCAAAGTTTTCACGGAAGGCTAGCAGCAAGCCAAGGTTTTATAAATAGGTATCTGAGAAAACGCTGACAATATCTTAATGATCCCAGTTCACATAGATCTGTGCAATCCTTTTCTTTTTCCTGTAATGTGTGTTAATATAGAAAGATGCTACTAAAGGGCTCTAATTTTTCAGGTTCCCAAGCATAAAGGTAAATACCAGGTAAAGTCATCAGGTTTTGCATTGTTCTGGGTGGAAACCACAGGGAAACCCTGAGTTTCAGGAAGACTCTCATCAAAATAATAGCTGAGACAGTTTACTAGAAGCTTGCCCCACGCACACCAAAAGATTTACAAAATATCAGCAAACCTGGTCTGTGTTTCAGGTATAAACATCAACCCTAGCTTGGCTGCTCAACAAAAGCTTAAGTCAGATAGAAAAGTTGCACTTTTTAAATCCCCTCTCTTCAAAGTATGGAAGAGAGTCACTACTGAGCTCCAGTAGTTAATTTAAATTCCACTTAGTTCTAGCCCAGTGAAGAGCCTCAGCCAAATAAACCTTTTTTGTTAATATTTTTTTTTAATTATTTGGATGCTCAATAATACAAGGCAAGTTCATTAAGAAAAAAGCTGTTAGTGAGGGTTTGGTTTTATGGTGGGGGTTTTTTTCTGATTTTTTTTTTCTTGTTTTACAGGAAGGAGGACCTGGTCTTCCAGGTTTCTTGCCTTTTTTCAAGACTGAAGTGTGAAATAACAACTACTTAGATGTAACATTTCCATCAGTTGCACCTGCAATTATTTTTGACCTCAGAAGGGTAGACACAGCTCAGGAATTTAAAAGAGTTGCTGCTATAAAGGCAGCCACTGCAATGAAGAGTTTTCAAGCAGTTTACTGCACTCCATCATGTAGCTGCCTCTCCTAAACAACGTAGGAAAACAGTCTGAGTATAAAGTGTTTCTAAGGAATCATTTTCTCTGTCACTGGTTATATAGGTCACATAAGCACTAATGCTCTGCCTAAGAAAGCGAAATAGAGAATTACTCACGCTATACCTAGAAAGCACAAAATTAAGTGTTATCTAAAGGAAGAAATGTTGGAACTGTCAGGGTTTATTTGTTTTTTTTTTTAATTTATTTGATGACACCATTTTTTTTCCTTAAGCTATAAAGCATTGATTCATGAAGAAAAATTGTGGGAAGATACCAGTGATGATCATGAAGCTTCAATCAAGTTTCTTAGTTCCAGGAGAAACTTTCTTCCAAAAAAAGACAGGCAGACACAGTCTTGCCTGCTCCCTGGCTTGGACCATGTATTCATGTGGAAAGCAGGAGAGTTGTATTAGCATTTCTTTTCTCAGCAGAATATCCAGATCACCAAGCTACTGCCATGTTGCTCATTTCTGGTCTTCTTCACTGGGACTTTGGCCACTTCATACAGATCGCCAGAGAGAAAATGACCCGGCCATTCCGCAGCTGTGCACACCTAAGTTACCTTGCAAGAATACCTTGTTCAAGCCCCAACTAATACTAACTCAAATAATTGTAATAATTTGATAAGCTTATTTAGGTCAAAGTGAACAATTCCCCCAGGAAGAGTAAAGACAGTCACTCAGCAGTGCAAAGTGATCAAATAAGGCTAGAAGCCAGATCTCCCTCATCCCTGGAGAGGGCCCTAAAGCAGCTGTTTGCAGCAGGATGCTCTCTCCCTTCAAAACTGCAGAGGTACTCACCTCAGGGTGAAAAAGGGAAGGTTTGGACTTGCAAGTTTTTCAAGAAGGAAACAGTTTCTTCCCAGCTCTAGTAAACACTTAATCCAGCTGCTCAAAGAATTACCAAATCGTATCAGTAACTTGATACCTGATCCTATCTGATTCTTTACATTTTGCTGTTCAGCTCCTGGCTAGATTTCAGGTCTGCCGTTTACATTCTGCTTTCCCAAACAATCCCTACAGATTCACTCAGGGTACAGTACATTTTCTACCTTCCACTGCCAGGCAGTACCAATATAGATTGCTAGGCAGTTCTTGTGGCTGCAGTTCAGTGCCATGTAGAGTAATCCATGTACGTCATTTGTAAGCCACCTGGGGATCCTCTGAGATGAAAAGCACAGTGTGAATTGAAAATATTTATTATTATTGCTGTAAACAGAGCAGGGTATCCATGGTAACATTTAATTTGTCAACACCTAAAACAGCAGTTAATTTAATATTTTCCCTTTAATTTTCAATGTGTAGAAGGGTTTGCATGTTTTTAGGAAGTCTATTTTAACCAAAGACCATATCAAATGAAACCAAGTATCCATCCAGTCTGCCGTCCTCCAACATACATGCTAGAGGAAACAGTGAAAAAACAGCCACCTAAACCAGATACGCAACACTGTCTTCCTATCCCTAGGCAGTCTGTTTCTGCCCTGCAGCTTAAGAAGGCCTATTATTTATGTAAATTTGTCTCAGCAAGACAAAGATTTTTAATTGCACTTTACACCCAAATACTTTCCCAAGCATAAGCTCTGAAAAATCAATTGCGTGGAGAAATTCTTCTATGTATCAGCTCAAAGGCATGACTTGTTATTTCAGTCCTATATCCTCTGGCTCTTAGAGTGTGAGAAAGGGAAAATAAAAGCATTAAGTAAAATCCTAGCACCATGGAAGTCAAGGACAAAACTCCCACTCACTTCGACAGGGCCGGAGCTCTGTCCTCCTGGTTTTCTATACTTGTATTCCTGTTGACTCAGTTCCTAGCACAATCGAGTTTCACAGGAGCAGTGATGAATTCAGACCTCAGGCATCCATATGCTTTTGTAGTACCTGTCACTGAAGTTAGCAGAATTAGGATCTCTGAATTTTTATCTTTTCCGAAATGTCTCAGGTAGCCTAAATCAACTGACAACTTGACTTTGAATATTAAGAAAAAAAATGCAGCCCTACTGGGTCAGACCAAAGGTCCGTTGAACCTAGTGTCCTATATGCAGCTCTGTATCATATTGTCATCATTGCCCAAAAATAGACGCTAAAAAAAATGATAAAGATGCTAAAAATGATCAGGAACAAGGCAGGCGGTAGTGATACTAGATATCCAACCACCACCAGCTTGGGTACCTCTCGAGCCAGCTGTGTTTTCTGTATGTTCATAAACAGGCAAAAGTTTCCTGTTCAATCAGCTTAAACCTTCAGCACCCTCAGCATCCTTTGCCAGCGAGGTCCACAGCTTAACTAAACATTGCATGAAGACTTCTTGCTTTTGGTTGTTTTGCACTTTTCTCCTTCTCACTACATGGTTGCTCTTTAGCCTAATACTCACTTTGATAACAATATCAATTCTGAAGCCTTCTGGCTATGAATCCAAAGGTGAGGAGCGGCTATATGGGTGGCAGAGGGGTCCCCAGCATGCAGGGTTTCTAGTGGTAAGGAAACCCTGAGACTGTGGGTTCCGGTGAGAGTGGACCAGAGAAGCACCAGGCAGGTCCTGCCTTTGAAATCAGTTTTTGGAACATCTTATTTCCACAAACTTCAACTGAATCAATGTTCCAAGCAGCTATTTTTCAGAGCAGTTTTAGAGGGTGCTCTCATCACTGGTGTCAGTGTCACCTGAAAACATTTAGCATCCCAAAGAAGAGCTCAGCACTTTTCAGGACTGGGCATGATGCACAAAGAATTGACAAATCTCTTAAGGAAATGTCTTCCAGCTTCAGAGAAGAAATTAAGCAGAAATCCCCGAGGTGCTCAGTATATTTCTCTCAAGCAACAATGCAGCGTTCTTCCCTGAAAGCTTCTTTGTTTTACTGTTTCCTAGAAGTACTCCTTCTGCATCTCATGACAATTTTATCAGACATTGTCACTGTCGGGAATAGCCACTACATTTAAGTTGTTTTTAGGCGTGACAGCCAGAAGGCAATATGACTTTTTAATGCTTGGCTGTTCTGATGCTTTCTGCTTGCTTCAAGCTTTACCGTTTTCTCCTTTACCAAATGCTGACAAAAGGAAAAGTCTCTAGTGTGCTGGAGTATCATCTTGGTTTATGCTATTTTATATTTCCCAATATACACTCATTTTGTGTTATTTAAAGTGACTTCACACCATGGGTGAAAATCCAAATGCATCCAATAAATTCCAGGCACAGGAAAGGTAAAAAAA